GAGCTCGGCGCAAGTGGCGCTTGTGCCGATGGTGATGATGATTCAGACTCATCAGGGTCGAAATCGACCTCTTCCTCACCAGTCACGTCCATCATGAGGATGGTGACGTCATCCTCATCTAACCCACAACCATCGCCTTCTACTTCTTCTGATGTCGAACTACCAATTATGATGGCCATTGGCGCATCTGGTAAAGGCAGGTTTCCCTGCATGGCCGGCGTCTGGGCGTCGCTCGGCTGTCCTGGAGTAGGAGGCACAGTCGTCGGCTCAGGGTCATCGACGAGCATAGGCTGCCTAGCAATGTTACGCATGGCCGTATGGTTTGGCCTCATCCCCAGCTCCTGGAGATTCCATCCTGGCGGGGGAAGATCATGACCACGCATAGCCATTGCCATTTCCAGGGCACGACGCCATCTACCATGGGAGTAGATCAAGTGTCTCTGCACTTCCTGAGGATTTATACTGTCAATGAGAGTCAAAGCTGCCAAGAGTAGCTCTGAGCTACCGCAAGCATCATTATCCTGTTCTGTCATAATACTAGCTTCAATTTGTTCTTGACTCTCAGGATATGCAATTGCAAGTATCTCATGCATCCACATGAGGGTCTGCAAAAGTGTACGCGGTCCATATTCGCCTGGAGCAAGCGAACCAGGAGGTATGAACGGAGAACCTGGTTCGCCTGCAATGAAGGCCTGAACAAATGCTTGAGACTCCATTTCAATTAAGTCTTCAATAGTATGGGGATATTCTCCCAGCAGAAAAGGCCTGTGTCCAGGCGGGACTTCGGGCGGAGGTTCGAGGTTCCGCTGAACCTCGGAAGGCGAAGCCTCTATAGTGGTGTCCTCGTCGTCGCTCTCGTAGGCCATGATGTTGCCTGGGTTCCCGAACACCCAGCCGAAGAAGGAAAGAGGCTCGTTTCCGAGCGTACCGTGATCCACGGGAGTGAGTTCATTACTGCCCGTGACGAACCGGCGGACGTACTCGAGGTAATACGCGTACAATCCATGACCGTACCCCTCGAGCTCGTCAATGTTGTCCATGCCAACGACCCATGTGAAAAATATCTGTTCCATAGCCTCAAAGTCCTGGAGGCATAGATACTCAATGGATGGCGTGCTCGAGCCGAAATGGACTTCGGACGACATGCCCTTTCCATTTCCCTTCGCTGGAGAATCTCGCACAAGATGATCGGCACTACCACATTCATGGCATTTGAGAACCTGGCCGTCTCTACCTCGCGGGTTTCCCCGCCTACCTTTACCTTTACCTGAGGTCGCTCCACGGCCTTTACCACGGCCTTTTCCCCTAAAGAATATCTCATCATGTTGTTCATCGGAGAGCCTCTGGAGAAATGCCGCGATACCTCGCCCGTTCAACCTCCGACGACCACGCTTGCCTTTGCCCTTTCCTTTAAAACTTCTACGTATCCTCCTTCTAACGCGACGAACTGGTTTTCGTGTGAACCTCCTCCACCTTCGCTTGGCCTGTTGTAACAGCCAGAATAAATGCTCAGCACGCTGATTGTCATTATCCATATTCATGATATCAGACCAATCTAGAGCTTCAACACCATCCGATGATATAGTGTCTGTATCAGTGCCGGAGTCGAAGTCTTCGTCTCCTAAACAGGTGGATACACCGTCGGTTAGGGGATTTGATTCCCCCCATAACGAGCGGTGTGGCTGTGGTTCTCTAGAAGGAGGGCTGGTTGCCCAGCTTGGTTGTGATCGATCCCCTGCTAGTAAAGCAGTGGCTTCTCCTGAATCGTCGGCCCATATGTTTGAGGGCCCGTTTCCAGGCTGGGCTTCAGTGGTTAAGGTAGTGTAGAAATTTCCACTACCAGATCCCCTTCCTCTTCCAAACACGGATCCTATGTTGCCAGGAGATCGTTCGGATAGGTGGCCTACCGAACGCATCCTCTCCAGCAACTCATCATACTGTTGTTGTGTTCGAGGCATTTGGTGATTGAGCGGCTGTAAGAGTTGCATGGCCTTTTGGTTGCCGACGCCTAGGGCGCGGAATAGGATAGTAGTTAACAGTTGGAAGTTGGGAAGGTCGAATCCCACCGACTGTGCCTCAAGTCGGGCCATTTCGAATCGGGTAAGAGTAACATCGATTCGTTCCCCGTGAGGCACATGGAAGTCAATAAGTTGTGTGCCGGAAGTGAGCTGTCGCTCATCTTCCAGGCGTTCGAATTTCATGCTGAGGAGAAACATGATATAAGTTACTGGGTCTGTGTGGACCCCGTCGATATCAGCACCATAGTTTATGATGTCAGGCGGTACCCTCATGGCGAGTGTCCTCGCTAGGCCTCCCAGGCCGCGTTGTATTGCGGCTGCTTGGGCCTGTGGCGTCATACGTCCGCTTGCAACGTTGAGCCACGCGTTGACCTCGTAAATGTACTCACGAAAAGGTACATTACCCTGAGGGTCCCAATATGGGCCATGTGTTTGCCCATCGGTGCTGTTATCTCCCCGACGCATGTGTGCGATTGCTGCCCCCAGCGCGAACCATATGATAGCGAAAACGATTAGCCCGAGAATGTGTAACGAAGGACGGTTATGATGAGCGGTGTCGCGCTGGGGTAGCGCCTTGTCGAGTCTTCGAGGCGCTCTGTCTGGCGGGTTTCCCCGCCCTTGCTTCAGGTATTGCGTTATTGGCTCGTTGCCGAGCGGTTGATAGTAACGCAATGATGAAGCGTATATGGTACCAATCTGGTCGTCTAGACGTCGCACCTCTCGTGTAGCTTCTTGTTCTTGAATAGATCCTCGTAAGTGTACTGGGAGTGGTGGCGCAGGGTAGTAGGTGGTCACGAAGATCGTGCCGAAGAATGTGAGGCTGAGAAGAGCAAGAGCTGACCACACGAGAGTGCGGCCAGCTCCGCTACCAAGTCGAAAGTGAGCCTGGTAACTCGAATAGCATCCGATTCCAAGGCGCTGACCGTGGACATCGGATGGCAAATAGCGTCCATCGCTCTGCTGTGAGGGTACAGTATGAGGAATGGGCGGATAAGATAGGATAAGATCGATGTAGTGATCTTTCCAGCACATAGCGAACACAAGCAGTGTCCGGGCAAATAGGGCGCGCGTGCCTTGAGCCCAAGGCAGCGGCGCGCGAGCTATGCTCCCGATACTATAACATCTCCCAAAGAGCTACCCTCAAAGTCCAGGAGCCCACGCAAGTGGCGACAGATGCCGCAGCCAACCGAAGCGCTGCGAGGTCTCAAATCATCTGCTTACTCCCCGACTCCGCCGCGCCTCCCAGGAGCCCACGAAAGTGGTGACAGATGCAAACTTCACAGCCACTCAGGGAGCGAATTACGATGTCTCAAATGATCCGTTCACTCCCCGACCCGCCGTGCCTCCAAGAAACCCACGAAAATGGCGGCAGCTGCACCGTTCGCAGCCACCCAGGGAGCGGCGCAGGAGCAGGCAGGAGGAGGGGGGGAGGGTCGGGAACAAACAAGAGGGCTGGGACAAAACAAGGAGGGGGGAGGGGGGGGGCTTCTGCAACCCCTTCGGCTCCGAAGGCGTTGCAAGCAGACCGGGCTTCCGCCCGCCTCCATCACCACGAGGGAAAAGGGGGGCAAACACTTGACCCTGAACAATCCTCACCGTAAGCGCTCGCCCGAAATAATTATCTTGGAATCTGGGAAAGTCAGGGGGTGGACACCCTTTCGTACAGCCGACCCGGGACCAGACCTGGGCGCGCAGGCCACAAAAAACAAAAACAAAAACAAAAAAAACATCAGTCCCCAGACCTCGTCCGGGGTGCGCTCGGGCCAGCACCTCGAAGAGAGCCCGGCCGCAGCGACGAGCACTTTCCGGGACGAGCAGCGGCACCAGGCTCTGTTCTTGGAGGCCTGGATGTGGGCACCACCACCAGCACCAGGGGCTGCCTCCACTGGGGGCAGATGATCCTGGGTTTCGGTGTCGGTGGCAATTTGTCGGCCACTCAGGAAGCCCGAATATTGACACCATCACCGAGGTCGGGATCGTCTTGCCTCAGTGGAGGCACACCGCCGATCTTGGTGTTGGTGTCCACCTCTAGGCTTCAGTCGGGCCTGTCCCCCTACAGTATCCTAAACGATTCAAACATGGACAACAAATCGTTCCCAGACTATGTTTCCCTACCTAGGCTGTGCCTAGAAGGGTTCTTACTCGCTTGGCTTAAAAGGCCAGGCAGTGGAACCCGCCCCGGGCGGTTCCCCCGGTCCCCTGGGAGCCAAGCAAAAGCAACAGCAAAGGTAAAAGCAAACGCGCGGTTCCCCCAGTTGCGCTCCATGGGTGCCAAGCAAAAGCAAAAGCAAAGGCAAATGTGAAGGCAAAAGCGAAGGCAAAGCAACATCATAGCATAGCATAGCAGGCATAGCATAGCATAGCATAGCATAGCATAGCATAGCATAGCATAGCATAGCGCAGCACAGCATAGCATAGCATAGCATAGCGCAGCATAGCATAGCGCAGCACAGCATAGCATAGCATAGCATAGCGCAGCATAGCATAGCGCAGTATAGCATAGCATAGCATAGCATAGCATAGCATAGTATAGCGAAACTCCAAGAGGCTTTCCTAGAGGCTCCATCTCCTAGGTAGGGTCGCACTGGGATAATTTTGATGCAATCTTCGAATATCCCCCCTGTAGAGGGGCAGGCCCGACTTGACTCTAGGCCTGCGACATGTTCTCCTCCGCCGACACCCGAGGAGGGGCCCAGCCAGCAGCCGGGGCCTCTCCGACGAGGCACCCACCCACCCCCGCAGCACGGAACGGCGGGCTGCGAGGCGATGCGGGCACTCCGAGGCGGCAGAGGCCCGCGCGAAGGATCGGCGGCGACAATAGGGGCGAATAGCCCAGGGGCGGGCACTACACGCATTCGCCCGGGAGCCTTTTCGAATACATCGATCATCGGCGCACCTGAATACGTGTACTGCTCCCCCCTGAGCTGTTCGCCCCTATCGTCGCCTCCGAAAGGAGGGAGCCGCGGCGCTCGGGGCGGTCGCCCTGAGCACAATCGGGAGGCTCGACTTCGACCCCGCGGCGGACTTCGACTTCGACCCCGCCGGCGACGCGGGGATCCTGCGCGGGCAGAGGGCAGCGTGAAGGGGGGGGCCGGCTCGGGGGCGGAACCGCCGAGCTGGTATCGGCGATGCGTCGCCGACAGATCGGCGACGGGCCCTCGACAGGACTTCGGCCCCGTGGCAAGCTTCGGCTCCGATCCCGCCGGTGACGCGGGGCTCCTGCACGGGAGCCCAGATCCGCCGACCCCTTCTGGGCCTCTGGGCGTGTGGCATCGTTCCCCCCCAGAAACCTCCCGCCCAGGGACCCCGAACCAGAAACTTGATCCCCCCTCTCTCCTGGCCTGGGCGGAACGCGGCATGCGGGGATAAAGGGTTCCCCGACGACCCGACGGCCCCGAGAGGCAGCCAAGGCGGTCCAGGAAGGCCCTGCGCCGCTGACTGATAATTTCCCAGGGGGCCCAATCTGCAAATAGTCAACCTCCCCCACAACATATAAAACCTTACCATGCACGGCGTTGACGCTGGACTACAGGCCCCCAGGAACGTCCCAAGCGGCCCTCAAGAGAGTCCCAAAACGGCCCAAGAGGGCCCCTAGACGGCCCAAGAGGCGCCCACGACGGTCGAAGAGTGTCCCAAATCAGCCCCAAGAAGGGCCCAACCGCAGGAGCCCAAACCCACGATGCACCCAGGGTACCTCAAAATTATCCCAGCAAAGCAACCTAACAGCCATGTGTAGGAGCATATCTGGAAGCATTCCTTGGTTTTTTGTTTCTCCCTTTAACTCTGTTGGCGCCTGGGGCCCTCTCAGAAAATAGAAAATAGAAAACAGATTCCGAAAACACAGCTTGCGCGCCCTGCGCGCTCACTATGATATACATGACAATTACGTTGTATATGTTATCCATACATGTGTATCGCACTTGTGAAACATATGAAGCACTTGAATGATGTTTGTGAATATCTAGGATCCATATGAATCGTATGTGCGACACTGCGAAAAACAATTTAAGAAATCATAAATAGCATTTGGCATATTGAGCAATATACATATGAGCATATGATAATTATTTGTAGTAATTAGTTTAAAGCTATATGGTTCAATGTATGTGCCACATGAACCATATGAGAAGTGGGAAAGGGATGATTTCCCCCAACGTCTAATCCAGCATCCTGCACCTGTCCTTCGCCAGTTGGTAGCGGTGATGTACGTCCCACAACCCTGCCAATTGGAGCTGCATGCAGCAACGGCGGCCTCCTTACTGGTCGGGAGGACACCAGGAGCCAGCTCAGCTGCAACCCTCTGGGCCCCACTGCACGATGAGGAGTTGCCCAGCCGGATCCAACTCGAAGACCTCGAAGAGGTCGCACTCTTCGATCTCATCGCGGAACGTCCGCGGGACACCGACAGGACACCGACGAGACACCGACGGGACACTATAAAACTATAGGGCTATAGGCTATAGGCTATAGGCTATAGGAACACCAATCGACCTGAATTTCGATATCACCATCGATTTCACTATCGATCCCATTATCGATTTCACGATCAGTATTAGTAGTATCAGTATCAGTATTAGTATCGATCTCACGATCGACCTCACCACGGGACACCGCGGGACATCCACTCGGCCGCCGGCCGCCACACGGGAAGGGCGCAATTCTGTCCTCGCCGCCACACAGGGAGGACTCCAGACCTCAAGCAGGAGGGCGGTGCTGCGCTGGCGGCGGTGCTGCGCTGGCACACGTTGCGAAACGTCGTTCACCTCCCTCCCTCCTCCCTCCTCCCTGGGAGCCCCCGGGGTATCTCCAGACCAACTCTGAGTTCAAAGAGGATGTGAAGTTGGCCCTCCCGAAGCGCCCGTGGTCAGACTGAGGCGCTCTCGGGGATCTTGGCTCTTCTCGGGCTCTCTAGGCTCTCGAGGCTCTCTAGGCCTCGAGGCTCTCTCGGGCCCGTGGGGGCCATGGCGCACTGCAGGATGAGAAGTACAAGGAAAATATTAGCATGTCAACGCAACCACTGATCCCATCGTAACGTTTCATCCTCCATCACCGCAAAAACGAGCCCGAGGCCTGCTGCCTCGGGTGCGCAGCAGACTCCATCACGCCTATGCCGCATAGCCTCCTATGCTGATATTTCGTCCACTTGCTCGTAGTGGGGGCAACCCGAGACGTCGTGTCGCCAGCTGCGCGTTCCCAGAATGATGCCCGGCACTCGAATCACGAAGCATCCACGTCCTCTGCCGCCGCTGCCGCCTTCACCGCGTCCAGCTTGGCCTTCAACTTCTTGGGCAAGGTGACCTTCAGCGGCTTCATCTCCTGCCAGAAATTCTGGAGGGCAGACCCGTCCTTCCGCTCAATGATCATCGCCGCCGAACGGCACGCCACCTGAAGGCGGGCCTTCTGACGAGCTTTCACGGCGTCAGCCCTGCACGTCTCAAGAATGTGGCCGCCTGCCTTCACGATGCCGAACACCTTCGCCGACGTCGCCATCTTGTCGAAACGCTTGAGGCCGCGCTTCGTGGAGCCCTGGAGGATCTTCAGCGCCTCCTTAAACTCGTTGCGGTTCGGATAATCCTTCCAGTCTTTAGGGCGTAGGTGGTTGGAGCGTCCAAGATGGCCCAAGACAGCCCCAAGAGGGCCTGGGAGAGCCCAAGATGACCTCCAATATGGCTCAAGATAGGCCAAGATGCCTCAATATGGTTCGCAATCGTATGCTCCAAAAGGCCCCAAGACCGCCACAAGACGGCTCCGAGAGGTCAAATAGCTGCCCAAGGAGGCCTCCAAGAAGCCCAAATCCTTGAATTAGCTTGGCAAACCCAACCAGATGCAATTGCACGCATCGTAGTCGTGAGTTTCATTTTCGGTAGAGCTCCCTACGGGGTCACGAAAAATGCGAGGGGAGAGCTGACATGTGTGGTGGGGAGGCGTTAGACCCCTGCCGTTGAGGCTTTCGGTGGATCTCCCTATGGGGCCACTGAGTAAGCGACTCGTCCCCGACCGAAAACCGAAAGGGGCCCGAACGACTCACCTCCGACCGGGAACTGAGGGGCACGAGCGGCTCACTTCCGACCGGGAACTGAGGGGCCCGAACGACCCAATTCCGACCGAGAACTGAGGCGCCCGGGCGACTCACTTCCGATCGAGGATGGAGGGGCCCGAAGGACTCACTTCCGACCAAGAACCGAAGGGCCCGAACGACTCACCTCCGACCGAGAACTGAGGGGCCCGAGCGACTCACCCCCGACCGAGAACTAAAGGGCCCGAACGACTCATCTCCGACGGAAAACGGAGGGGCACGAACGACTCCTCTGACCGAGAACTGAGGGGCCCGAACGACTCAACTCCGACCGAGAATTGAGGGGCCCGAGCGACTCACCTCCGACCGAGAACTGAGGGGCGCGAACGACCCACGCCCCACACAGAACCGAGAGGCCCGAAAGACTGACCTCCGACCGAGAACGGAGGGGTCCGAACGACTCACCTCCAACCGAGAATTGAGGGGCCCGAGCGACGGGCCCGAACGACTAACCCCGACCTAGAACAGATGAGCTCGAACGATTCACCTCCGACCGACCACTGAAGGGCCTGGGCGACTCACATCCGACCGAGAATGGAAGGGCCCGAACGACTCATCTCCGACCCAGAACTGAGGCGCCCAAACGACTCACCTCCCACGGAAATTTTGAATGGAGCTCCCATGGGGTTACGAAGATGTGAGGGCTGTGCCAAAATTTGTGGCTGGGACGCGCGCGGGCTGCGCCACTGAACCGTAGGAGGGGTGTGCCGATATGGGTGGCTGGGACGCATGCGGGCTGCACCGCTGGGACCTTCGGTGGGGCCCCATATGCTGTCACTAAACGTGTGAAGGGTGTGCAGAAATCTGCGGCTGGGACGCATGCGGGCTGCGCCACTTGGACCTTCGGTGGAGCACCGACGAGGTCGCGAAACGTGTGGGTGGTGTGCCGATATTGGCACCTGGGAGGCATGCGGGCTGCGCCACTTGGACCTTCGATGAACCTCCTGTGGTGCCACGAAACGTGCTAAGGGTTTACCAAAACGGTTGGGGACACATGCTGGTCCACAGCAAGAAAGCTGGCGCGCCCGTCGGCCTCCTCAAAAGCCGCGTCCGCCTAGGGTGGTAGGTTGTAGGCGGTGTACACTTGCAATCAGTTTCGTTGCAGGCGTCTGCTGGTATTTGACCGCAACGGTTCTCTGATGATGCAATCGCGCCTGATGTTGAGTTACAAATTACAAGTTCCCCAGGTTAACATTGCATCTGGCGCGTGCATATCAGCGTGGTAAATCCCCGCCGCGCGCGTGCGGCGTGGGGATCTCTGGTGTCCAATCGGAAAGTCGCCACGCTTGCCTGGAGACTAGAGTGGACCCGCAACGAAAACCGATCGGACCTCCAAATTAACGTTTGTTTGGGCGCATGCTTTTCATGATGGGCCAAGATGCAGAACACCCCGCGGCGCGCGTTCGCGCCGCGTGGATATCTCTGCGGCGCCTACAATAGGAAAGTCACCATGTTCGCCTGGAAGCCAAAGGGAACCCTTGGCGGCGGCCGATCAGAATTCCAAATTAACATGGTTCAGGGTTTTGCTTGCCACTATGGGCCACGGCCATATGCCAATGCCATGGCGGGCAATGCAGAAGCCCCCCGCGCGCACGCGCGCGCGCCACGATGGGGCCCCTGTGGCGTCCACAATAGGAAAGCCGCAATGTTGGTTTGGGGTCTGACTTGCGCCCTTGGCAATGACATATCAGATTTCCAAGTTGGCATGGGTTCTTGCAGTGCACAATGCAGAACCGCCCCCCCGCGCGCGCGCCGCGCGGAGTTCTCTGCGCTGTGCCACAATGGTAAAGTTGACATGCTGGCTTGGAAACCAAAATGCGGACATGGTCGTGACCGATCGGATGTCCATGTTGACAGGGGTTCTGCCGCATGCAATGCAGACCCCCCCCCCCCCGCGCGCGCACCGTGTGGGGGTCTCTGTGCTGTCCACGATATGAACGTTGCCATGTTTGACTGGGGACTGCAATGATCCCTAACGATGG